ACCTTTAAAAAAAGAACACATTTTTGCAGGAAAATTTGTACATTTACTATTTTTTTTACAGAAGACTGCAAAGCATTCCACCCACATTCAGGGGATTGTGAGTGCGATGCCACACTCCTGCAGACCCTTCCTCCAGCTCCCTGTCCATACCAAGGAACAGGCAATCAGTTGGGAGAGTTGGAGGATGTGTCATTGGACTACCAGAGCGTTGATTGCCACACTTGTATTATATTGAGAATTATAAGTCTGTCCGATGTGGTGGAAGACAGTTCATTCATTCATTCATTCATTCACAGATATCTGTGATACAACTGTGAGGGGGGAGTCCCACACAGCTGTTCTGATTCCAAAAGTAGCAGTTGCTTCAGAGGAGAAGAACCCCTGCTTGCTCTAAATACAGGTGTAGCATGTAACATGCTGAAAAAGATGGAGTTACCCTTTAAAAATGAACACCAGGTAAATAAAACAACACAAAATAGCTCAGTATTCATAAATAAATCATTTTTTTAATGCAGATAGCATAGATATCTGAATTTGACTTGGTAGCTGCCCTTTTAATTCCCTGTACAGCAGTATTTAGACTTGGAGGGTACAGGGAATGCATTTGTAGTGTGCTTTGTGAAGGGAATTGAAAACGCAGAAGACGAAGGCACAACAATGCAACAATGCAACTGATGTAATTCATAGACACTGTTATGATACAGTGGGGATCTGGAAGTACGGCTCCCAGCTGCACAGATCATCAGGAGTTCTCAGCTCAGTGTAGAGTTTTCCGGAAGAAATAAAAAAAAACAATAATAAGAGTGTAACATGAGAATTAAAGAGTTAAAAAAAATCTGTGTCTGGAGTTTAGCTTTAATTGTAACACAAAAATAGTGTCATCCACCTAGCTATGCTGTCTGACAGGATCATGAAACAACTCTTATATACATGTTTTATTTATGTTGGTAGCTCCTTATCTGGAACTCAACTTTAAAGTGGTTGTAAATCCTTACATACACTCACTGGCCACTTTATTAGGTACACCTGTTCAATTGCTTGGTAACACAAATTGCTAATCAGCCAATCACATGTTAGCAACTCGATGCATTTAGGCATGTAGACATGGTAAAGACGACTTGCTGAAGTTCAAACTGAGCATCAGAATGGGGAAGAAAGGGGATTTTGATGCCAGACGGGCTGGTCTGAGTATTTCAAAAACTACTGATCTACTAGGATTTTCACGCACAACCATTTCTAGGGTGTAAAGATAATGGTCCAAAAAAGAGAAAATATCCAGTGAGTGGCAGTTGCTGAGATATTCAGATGGTAATGTTAGAATTTGGTGTAAACAACATGAAAGCATGGATCCATTCTGCCTTATATCAACAGTTCAGGCTGATGGTGGTGTAATGATGTGGGGTATATTTTCTTGGCACTAGCAAGGTATACCTAATAAAGTGGCCGGTGAGTGTAAACTCAGTGAAGTGACTGTCCTTAGGTGATACAGAGAGATGAAACAAATCATCCTACATAAGCTGTACCTGTTTATTTGCAGTTGTCTCTTGTCTACATCCATTCAAACTCCAGAATTTATAAAGTTTGCCTGAGAGTTCAGGAAAAAAGGGGAGGAGAGCTGAAATTACACACTACAGAGCTCAGTGAAGAGAGCAGTGACAGCTGATTGGAGGGAAGGGACATCCCTCCTACACACAGCTCACAGGAGCTGAGGCTGTCAATCTACTGGAGATCCCTCCCTGTCACCATTTTTTCTCTTGATGTCAGGAAAACGTGTCAGAAGTGAATCATACAGATTGCAGAGGAATGAAGCAGCAGACATAAATGACACTTAGTGCTCTTTAGTAAGACAAGTACACACTATAGATGGATAGGCTTTGTTCATATTTCATGTCTGAGGTTTACAACCACAAGGAATTTTTTTTTATGTATAGTGTATAACAAATGAGTCTTCCTATATATCTTTGATACCTTACGTATAAAATTAAAAATAGACATGTAGCCAATCAATAATTTAACAAACCAACACATTTTTACCAGGAGTGTTAGGGGAAGATTTATAAAGCAGTAAATCTTGACATTCAGTGCACATTCTCTGCAGGTGAATCTTCTGGGTGCATTTGTTTTAAATGACTCTGATTAATTTTCCACCAGAGAATATTTGGTGAAAGTCATTGATGTATAAATAGACCCCTTACTTTACACTACAATGTAAAAATACAGCCATTACTACGGCCATGTTGAACAACTCTCTACAACCTCCTGACAAAATGGTGTTGAGAAGTCCAACCTAATGCAGATTATATACAGTTCATACACTGTTCTCTGGAAAGAGTCACTGGTTTACAAAAAAAAGGCTAATTTCACAACAATTAAAAAATAACTCCACTTTTGTTTAAAAAAACCAATCCCCCTGGGTGATCAATGCACATTGCAAGAATTTTAACAAACTTTAGAGCAGATTCCTACCTGTTTCTGTCCTGAAGGAATAGCTGTCTATTAGATCATGTGCAGGACTGATTTTAAATGGGAGTTACTTTTTCATTTGTGATCAGTTGATGCACTTTCAGGGTTCTAATGAGGAGAGTGGCAGGGTCTGAATTCCTTTCGAAGTGAACTCTTTGGGAGCATCTCAACAAAACAAAAATTTTTGTTGCAGAGGGTGCCTAAAATCTGACTTTTACAATGCAGATTTCTGGGAAAATCAGTGAGCCAATCACACAAGCAAGAAATTACATCTCTGGGGGAGTTTCAACTGTATATGGTACTGCCTCTAGGTTGCCTTCTTGCATTGAATTTGACAGTGCTGCAGATTGAATAGGAAATACGTTTGATAACAACAAATTACAATAGGATTGTGTTGCATTTGTAGATACTAAATATATTTTATTTTATTTTTGATATTTATTTCCCATGAAAATGGAGTTACCCTTTAATAATTTACTAGTGGTAACATCTGAACATATAAAAGCTATATAGCTGTGATTGAACAAATTGAACAGATCAGCATCTTTGCCCTTGGAGGGCAAGGTAACAGGTTCCTTTTAATTCCAGCTCCACCTAATGCACATATTTACTTTCTTTTGGCTCTTCTGTCACTCTCTATAAAGTAGAAGCCATGTGTGAGCTGCAAGTTGCAATGTGGAGCTTACACAGGGCTAAAGACTCCCATGCTACCTTTACAATGCTGGATGCCTCAGCGGCAAATTGAGAAATGCAAATGATTGCCCTTATGTAGGAGAAAGGAGAGTATGTCATACCATGGTTGAGGACAAATGAGTATGAGAAGCTGGTGGGTAGAGAGGGGGCATTGCACTAAACCTGCTGCTTTAATGAAAGCTGCCTTCAACACTAGAAAAACTGTGAAATGTCTACAGGTAATTACACAAATTTGCAGAGTGGTCCAGGAGGAGGAAAGACTGGGCAATATTATGCAAATATAGCTTTGGCCCACCCATTCCCCACTTTACTATTGCTCCAATACTTGGTAGCCTCACTGATTAATAATGCCGCTTGAATGATGGGAGTGAGCAAAGCTAGCCATACACAGCTTAAATTTGAGCTGATTTCTGCTAAATAGGCCAGAATTTGAGCTGCGGGTGGCACCACCACCAAACTCAAAAATGGCAGTTGAGAGAGCCACGTGGATAATTGTCATCTGAATAGCAGCTGCATCCATCCCCAGTGTGGAGGAAGGAATCTACTGTAACTTGATTAATTACACACACCAATGTAAAATACAGTTTGCTGGCACTCAAACACATAAAAAATAGAGTGAACTAAATGGCTAAGACTATTGCAAGCCCAATTCAGTGAGAACAATAGGTTTATTATAAATAGAAATGACAACTCTGTAGTAGAAATATAAAAAGAGCAGTAGTGTGTCAATTAAAAATATGTATATTCATAATAAATTATAATTGTTGTTAATAATAAAACAGAGGAAAGCAAAAATATTTTCTTCCCATTATCCAACAGCATTGTCCTAATTAGACTCTGATCTGATATGTGACACATCTTCTGCATGGTGACACTATTTCCATCTCACCTTCTTGAGCAGCCATTGCAATCTGTACAACATCTGTGACATTAGGGGTCAGCTTGGCAAAGAAAGGAATTCTGACAGCTTGTCTAACCCAGCGGCAGATGTTGCGCACCAGTTCTGGATCCTGTTCAAATAGGTCAGATATAAAAAAAGAAAAATTGGTAATTTGTCTAATCTAATGAAAACATGGAGCAATGAAGGAAAAAAATTCCATTAACAGAGCTATTCTTGTAACGCAGTGAAATCAATAATTGAACTGAACTCATTGTAACAAGCAGTGCGTATGTATTGTAGTACTGTAATATAATATAGTTCTTAGGAAATAACTAAATGAATACAAAAGTAATTAACACAGGGGGGAATAAATAAAAGACAACATAGCATGGCAAAATTTAACATTTAACATATAAAATTTGTAAATAAATTACTATTATACTAGTAATGTAACTCATGCATATAAAACAGAACTGGGGGCTCATGGAAATTAAATTGCAACATTGCAAGTTTTGTAACAGTACCAATCAATCATTTGTTCAGTGGCTTGGATACAGTAAACTGAAATTTGATTGGTTATTATGAGAAATTGTAGCCTGCAGTTGCCTAATGTTCTTTGGATTAAATAATAAATAAACCCAGATTTGAACAGAAATTAAAAAAATATACTGATGTTGAAGAGATTTAAAAGGCTCCCATGTATTTGCCCACTCAAGTGCTGTTTTAAAACATACTATTTAACAATAGTGATACTTTTTACTACATAAAAAGAAATCTCTCTGGATTTACTTGTGCCTCCCTTCCAGAATGCAAATACGTGAAACTAGAATGACAGATTTAACCAGCATCTGGTGGTGGCTTCTGGAACTGCAACATCACTACAATATACAGTGCTCAAAAAAAATGAAAGGAACTCTTTAAAAACACATCAGATTTCAATGGGGAAAAATATAGTGCTGGATATCTATACTGATATGGACTGGGTAATGTGTTAGGAATGTAAGGATGCCCCCAGGGGCGAACTGACCATTTGGAAACTCGGGCACTGCCTGAGGGCCCGGGGTCAGTTGGGGGCCACATGAGATGCCCCTGGTACCTTTTTCATAGGCTTTTTTGAGTTTGGGCAAGGACACAGGGGCCCCATGATCCCCTATTGCCCGGGGGCCCCATGAGTTGTCAGTCTGCCCCTGGATGCCCCATTGTTTGATGGAAATAAAAATGATCAACCTACAGAGAACTGAATTCAAAGACACCCCAAAAATCAAAGTGAAAAAATTATGCATCAGGCTAGTCCCTGAGCAGCAGTAAATCTTTAAGCTGTCAGCAGATCGGCTTCTACATTTCCAGCACAATGCCAAAAAAATAGAGATCAACTGAGCATATGCAGAACAGGGCGAGACAGTGTATTACTGGATTTTAAATAATACAGGAACTTATTGTTAATGCTTTACATAGCTATACCTGCAAAAGGGGTCAGCCTAAAATGATCTAACAGGAGTTAATTTTCAGACTAAAGTTCTAATATAAGACCTTGAGGGCACATATGATAGTAGGCAAATAGCACAGAAGGCCTCACTCAATAAAGCTATGCAAATCACAGAGCGATGTAACATCAACTACATTTCTGAAGATATATTACTGATAAGAAAAGAAAGAAGACAAATCTTATGAGTGGCTACTTAATTCTGCTCCTTGCTTTATTGAACATATCTGCAAACCTAAATGTTCTGGATTATTTTGGGCATTATTTTAGAGGCTACAGCCTTTACAAGTCACTAAACATGGGTTCATGAACTGCTGATAAGTTTTGGATGCTTCATTAGCAGCAGTAGCAATTTTCTCAAAATGTAGAGATCTGGTGTAATATCTCATTAGAGGTCCGTGGCATAGCAACAAGGAGAGAAGGAGTGGAAGCCTCAGCTAGGTTCATAATCTCTGGGGACCCAACTCTAATAATTGCTTGTTTCTATCTCTGTTGTTGTATCAGTGGAAACAACAGCAAGGTGTTTCTGTTAGGGGATACATTCAAAGAAGGTATTGTGTGGAGATGCCATAGGGTTGCAATGTAGTTTGACAAATGTGGTCCAGTGGAGTTGATTTTACACAGATTTGTAGGGTCTTCATATGCAAAGAATTGACTGCCTATATACGAACATATTTTGTATAATCTGGTAGACTCTATCTTCTTTGCAAACATTGTTGCCATCTATAACTCATACGTAACCTGTCACTTTTAAAACAGATTATAATTCAATATAGCAAAACCTCTGGACAATGTTCTATTCCTGGTAATACCCACCAACATTTCCTCTAAGACAGACCCTCATCAATGCAGGAATAGAGGATGAGATGTGGGAAATGCTGTTACTATTGCTCGTAATCAGCTCAGAAAACAGACACGCTGTCCAGATGACAATGATGCACAGTCATCTAGAGGTTGCCCGGCTATAATCTTAGAAGTCGTACAGTTGAGCATGCATGAAACTTGTCAACTAATCAACAAAAAAGATGATCTTCCAAAGAGTGCAACTAAATGCAATTCAGGAGCCTGGCATTTGAATTTTGCAGCTGTCATACATATCCCATGTGTGGCCAGCTGGTGCTGGCAGAAGTGTCGGTACAGACAAAGGATTAGAGCACAGGGGACAGTGAGATTGGCAGTTACATGAAAGCAACATGATGAAGAAAGTGGTTTAATTCATTAGGTTTGCTGCAACCATGCTGTTCTTTGAAAATATTTAATACATGTCCACAGTGACAGTTTTTTTTAAAGACTAAATTCACTGCATCAGATTTTTAAACCAGACAAACCAAATGAAGACTGAAATGAATAATTATTCTGTGCAGTGGTTTTCAAAGTGTACCATTGGTGGTTCACATTGTAGGCCTGATTTATTAAAGCGTGAGGTGAACTGAAATGCAGCAAAGTGATGCTGGACTTTTACAAAGTAAAATAAATGGAGAGATTTACTAAAATTGGTGCACACAGAATCTGGTGCAGTTGTGCATAGTAACCAATTAGCTTCTAGGTTTGATTGTCAAAGCTTAATGGAACAAGCTGAAGTTAGAAGCTGATTGGTTACTACGCACTACTGCACCAGATTCTGTGTGCACCAGTTTTAGTAAATTCCCCCTATTATGTTCCCATTTTCACTTCAATCACCAAAGCAAAAGAAAAAGTGTTTGATTGTTTTCTTATTCAAACTCCCCGGACATGTCTAGATGTTTGAATTTGTATACAGGTACATTTTCTCCTTTAACAAATCAGGCCTTTTAGGCTTATCTCACTGACAAAAGTACAGAGCAACAGAGTACATTAACGTTAAATTCCACTTTTATAAAGAGAAAAAAAAAGATTCAGAATGAATGCGATTGTAGACTTTTTTTTTTAAAATAAGAAATATGTTATACTTACCTACTTTGTTCAATAGAATTGCAAAGAGTGGCCTCGATCTCAGTGCAGATCAGCCCTGCTCCCTTGTCACAGAATTTGATTGAAAACAGCAGGAGCCAATAGCCTCAGAGACCAAGAACTAAGCGATCAAAGACTGCTGATCACTCAGCTCTTGGTCTTCATTAACTTGTTGCCGACCGCAGATAGCCGAATGACGGCTGCACTGCGGCCGGCCAGTTCTGGGTGGACGTCATATGACGTCCCCCCAGAACGCGCTCTCCTGCACGCCCCAGGGGGCGCGCACCCGGCGATCTCCGTGATCGCTGTGTCCTACGGACACAGCTGATCACGTGATGTGGTAAAAGGCCAATCACAGCGGCCTTTTACCACCTGATCAGTGGTGTCCAATGACACGCTGATCAGAGGGAAATGCAAGTGCCGGTTCTCGGCTGCACTTTCCTCACGCTGTCAGATTGTGAGGAAAGTACTGCCGAGAACAGGCAGTTGTCAGAGCGGGGATCGGCACCGATCATCAGGGCACTGATGATCAGTGCCCTGATGATCGGTGCCCAGCAGTGCCACCCGCAAGTTCCGCCCACCTGTGCCCTGCAGTGCACCCACTAGCTCCGCCCACCTTTGCCCAGCAGATCACCCACCTGTGCCCAGCAGTGCACCCACCTGTGCCACTCTGCATTTCACACACCTGTGCCCAGAAGTGCCACCTACCTGTGCCCAGCAGTGCCACCCACCTGTGCCCAGCCCACCCACCTGTGCCCACCAGTGCCACCCACCTGTGCCCACCCACCAGTGCTGCCCACCAGTGCCACCCACCAGTGCAGCCCAGCAGTGCTGCCCAGTCAGTGCACCAGTCAGTGCCCAGCGGTTGTGCCAGTCAGTGCCCAGCAGTGATGCCAGTCAGTGCCGTCTATCAGTACCCATCATCAGTGTCACCTATCAGTGCCGCCTATCAGTGCTGCATATTAGTGCCGCCTATCTGTGACACCTCATTAGTGCTGTCTATCAGTGCCGCCTATCCGTGCCACCTCATTAGTACTGCCTATCAGTGCCCTTTAGTGCTGCCTATCAGTGCCCATCAGTGCCGCCTATCAGTGCCCATCAGTGCTTCCTCATCAACGCACATCAGCGAAGGAGAAAAATTACCTGTTTGAAAAATATTATAATAGAAACAAAGAAACTTTTTTTTTTTTTTCAAATATTTGGCAATTTTTTATTTATAGCGCAAAAAGTAAAGCTCCAGTGGCGATTAAATACCACCAAAAGAAAGCTCTATTTGCATGACCGCGCAATTGTCAATCAAAGTGCGGCAGCGCTGAAAGCTGAAAATTGGCCTGGTAAATAAGGGGGTATAAGTGCCTGGTAGGCAAGTGGTTAAGCAGAGATCTGGTGGCTGTAAGTCACCGGCTCTATGCTCTGCCTCTCCAGCACTCACTGGAGCACTAGCCTGTGAAGGGGCAGGAACTGCTGGCTGAGTGAGCTGTCGATCAGGAATCTGTGAATCTGGGATCAGGAAACTTTAAAGTCAGGATCTGTCTAGAGCCTGGACCGACTTAGTGACATCAGCCAATGGTGGATTTCAGCTTGTTGTCTGCCAAATATGTGTCACAGGGGCGCAGAACTATGTGCACTCCTGTGACCCACAGGAGAAGTAGGGACAAAAGAGCTTTGGCTCTACCTTTCCTTTATGTCTTTAGCACTACTTTAATTGTGGAGGCTGTCATTGCAAATTCTTATCTACTTCTGTTTTGGAGTCACTGAGATGTCTCACAGCCAAGACTGTTTTTCTTTACTTTGGCTAGAGTCAGGAAAGATTAAAAACCTTGTGTCCCTGCTGGAGAAAAATGCCTTCTCTATTTGCCCTCATAGCCATTGTCATGGGAAATGAAAGTACAGGAAAATCCAAAAATGTTGCATGCATCTTTACTGGAGTAGAGCTAGAACGGTAGTTTTCATTTCAATACTTTTTATTGTATTCTTTGTGACATTACATGTGGAAAGTCAATGAGGAAAAAAAACAACATAACATTGTAAAACATGTGGTTATTACTCAGGATAGTACAGACATATGCAAACAACATATTATTATTATTATTATTACATAGCTCCAAAGGGTTTACTCAGCGCTGTACAATAGAGGGGGGGGGGGGACAATACAAGAAACAGAACAGCAACAATGACAGTACACGAGGGGTTAGAGGGCCCTACTCTTTAGAGCTTACAATCTATCTATACATATAGTACCGAGCTTGCATAGGATGCTAGCTAGTATGCCATATAGTAAGGAAATAAGTCATAAATTATTTAGGAAAATATGTCCACATAATAATTACTATCTACCCACACTTTCCAAAGTCAAACAGTGTGTAAGTAGCTGTTTTATGTAAAAACATTCTTTCATAAGAGTAGTAGTGAGTGTTAACCAGATCTACAACTTCAGATGAGTTGGGTACCAAGTTACAAGTCCAATACCTAGCAATAATCATTTTAGCTTCCTCTAGTATATATAATGTGACTGTTCTCAGAGTGTGGTGAAATAGATCAATACCCAGGTGAGGGATAACTAGAGCAGGGTCTGGCCTCACCTGTAATCACACCTGTAATCTCTGAGATGATAGAGAAAATTTTTCTCCAAAAGCTGGTAAGGCTTTTATAGGCCTAAAAGATGTGAACTAGGTTTCCCACCTGTCAACATTACATCCAGCAAAGGGGAGAGTGGGATTTAGAAAATGTTGCTAGTTGGTAAGGTGTTAAGTACCAG